AGGACATTCAATTTTTAATACAAAAACATTACATTACATTTAAATGTAAGTTTTAAATTTTAAAGTGGTAATTTTTGGATTAAAAATTTATCAACTAAATAAATTACTCTTTACAAATTCAAACCAAAACTTTTTATTTTTAAGAATTTTAAATCGATATCGAATTATAATTTGAAAAAACTGAACCTGCCAAAAGTAAAAATCGTTCCTAGGAATTTTCATTTTCACCCAATGTGTGATTTTTTTCGTAATTACAATTCTACTACAATGGCATTTAAAAATTGGAATACAAATCAGCGGTTCTCAAATAATTATTTGAGAACTGCTGATAATTTGATTTAATACCTTTCACCTACCTTAAAAACCGGCTAAGTTTAACTTATTGTTTGTCGCCTTTTGGAGGTTGTAAAAATAAAAGACCAGTTATTTTTGAATTTGTTTTATTTTATAGTGCAGTAAAAACCTTGTTGGTATTGCAAATAATTTGTATTTTTGTTTAAATTTAATCATATAACAGGAATGAAAGTAAAACATAAAAAGTTACACTAAATCCTAATTAAAAATTATAAAATTACAAATACAATATTTAAATAAAAAGGGACAATAATTTTATGAACAATGGATAAAATAACCAGTTTTTTCATACAAAAATACATATATCATTGTATAATACGTGTTGAGAGTTGCTACTGCTACTTTACTAAATTAAATTACATGTGAAAATAATTCAACTTGATGTGTACTAAGTATCTCCAAATACAAATAAATTATACAAAAACCTATTTAAAAGTCGCTAAGTGTAAATGTATACACTGACTAGTTCATGTATACAATAACTGATTTTGATTTTACTACAGTAGTAAGGCCAGATTTAACATCATTTGACTTTTCCGTTTTGCTGCCCCACCCTGTATAACATAAAACTAAAAATATGTATATAATATTATATATATATAACATGAAACAAGATATTCAATTAAAAATTAGCCATCCTTAATAACTTTCGAGTTGTAGTAAATATGATTTTTAGCAAAAACAGGTCAATTTAGATAGGAGCTACCCTTACTAAAATATTTTAAACGGCACCCTATACCTTGCGACACATCATTTTAAAGGAAATGCAATTTCATTTTCCAAGAAGAATGGTGTGTAGAGGTACTAAAGTATAAATTAAAAATTGAATTTTAAAACTTTAAAAGAAAAATTAAATTTGGAATACTGAGTTGACATTTTACAATAATTATTAGTCTTTGGTTAGGATTGGAAATCTTTTTTTTATTTGTTCCAAAACGAAAAATAAAGGTAGTTTACTCTTGATAGTATTCCATGTTTTTTTTGTTTTTCGACCCCCTTGTATAATATTTTCAAATTTAAAGTATGGCAATAGACCTTTCAAAACAAGCAGAACTTTTTATGAAGAATAACTTTTGATCGAAAAATGAAAATTTTAGTTCATTTGTCCTCTTGGGCACTCTATCTATCAGTGGGAATACTGTATATAAAATAATTGGATCACTTTTTATCGAAGAAAACTTGACTGGGCAATTATATCTTGATCTTCTTGATAATGTTATAGATCCACTTATTACCCAGTCATTAGTAAATCAAATGCACCAAAGGTTTCCCGAAAAGTGGATTGGTAGAAGAGGTGCTCAAGAATGGCCGGCAAGATGTCCAAATTTAACGCCACTTGATTTTTTTCTTTGGTGTCATTTAAATTAAACACAAGTCTACAAAACACCACCTGAGAACATTCAAGGACTCAAAAGAAGAATAATTCAAGAATGTAGGCAGATAACTCCTGAATCGTTTCTAAAAGTTTTACAACATAAATTTTTGGCTCAAGATCATATTTACTATAACTCAAAAGTTATTAAGGGTGGCTAGTTTTTAATCGAAAGCCCTGTATAATATATTGGTCCATTTACCATTTTTAACAATTTGATAACATTTATAAAAATATATATTTTTATTTATTTAGGTTTTAACACCTTTTTAAAAAATACAAAAAATCATTATATTTTTAATTAAGACTACAGTTTAATTTAATAGTATACTATATTACAAGAGATGTAAGTTTTACGCACGAGCAGCGAGGTTACACACGACGCCGCTTGCGGCGAGTGTGTAATGCCGCAAATTGCGTAATTGCTTTACATCTCCTGTAATGAAATGATATACATTCATTTTTACTTTTCACTAAGAAACAACTTTTTTATTATTATTTTTTATTTGACACTGATAGTTCTGACAAGTATTTACTCATAGTAACCCAGTAACAAATTCAAAGTATGGAATAAATTCATTAAAAAATGTTTTCTTAAAAAAACCTTAAACTGGTCTATTTCGTTTTTGAATTACCTACGCACTTTTTGATGTAAATATTTTCATATTTTTTGCCATTTTCGTAGAATTTCTGACGTTATTGGCCATTATACAAAATCAAATTTAGTTAGTTACTTAGTTTCCATGTCGAACAAAGTGAAACGTCATAATATATTATAGAAATTGAAATGAACATTTTGGAAGAAGAGCTACCATATGTCATCCTGGAGGCAGCAAATACTGTAAATGAGAATTTATTACCAGCGAAATCCTGTCAAAAATATAAACAGAATATGAAGCAATTGAAACATTTTGAAAACTGGTGCAACAACAAAGGGACAAAAAGTTTTAAGGAATAAGTGTTTCTTGCCTATTTTGCGGATTTAAGAAAATCATATCCAGCAAATACTTCGTGGAGTAAATACCTACTCCATGTTAAAAAGTGTCATAATGTGTCATCATATATAAAAAAGGAAAATGTGGGATACCGACCAAAAAAGTCCAAAATTTTTGAGAAATATGACATTACAAGATTCATTAAAGCACCAGATAAAATTTACCTTTTAATAAAAGTTGCCACTATTTTTGGGTTGGCTGGTAAAATATTATGCTGTTTAAAGTATAGCCAACCTATAAAATTAAAATTTTGGGTGAGATAAAGTATCTCATTAAAGCGGTGTTATAATGAAGTCGTTACGAACGAATATTTTGAAATAAAAAAAATTTAAATCACGATCACGAAATTTAATAATACCCAAAAGGTATACATATAAAAAACGGTCGATGACGTCATAGCTTCTTCAAAAATGGCGGCAAATATGAAAATTTTAGATCCAAATGTGCGAAATTAAACTTACATGCCAATTTACATTGCATCAGGAGAGCTTGAAGTCACAGCATTTCCAACAACACAAGTTTTTACATGTTCCATATAATAGTCAGCCCTTAAGGTGGTAAAACTACAAACGGTACAATTAAATATGTGTCTGGTTATATCAATTTTTAATTGTTTATCTTTACTCAATGCGCGGGTTTCTAGACTGTATTTTGGTTTTGAATTGCAACCATGCGCCATAAATTTCTTCCTAACCAGAGTGCCATAGTCGCAAACTTCACATCTATAAATTTTAATATTAATTTTAACCTTTTTTTTCGCTTCATTCTGCTCTTCGTGTTGGCTAAATACATGCCTCTGCAAAGAGTTTATAGTTTTAAAGACACTTTTGCAATATGGGCAAGGTACATCAGGAGTTTTGTGATTTTTTTTATGCATTAGCAGTTTTCTATTTACGTGTGTAGTGTATGGGCACTGGTCGCATTGAAAGTTCTCTTGGAGCTTACTTTTCCCCTTATGTTTGCTGTGTACGTGGATTTTTAAGGCACGTTCTTCCAATGTTGTATAGTCGCAGTACAAACAAAATTTAATTTTGATTTTATCTAATTCAACTCGCTTTTCCAAGTCGTTTTGTTCCCTATGGTTGCTGAAAATGTGTTTTTGTACAGTTCCTTCATTAAAAGCGGTAAATTTACAATAACAGCATGTGTGAAGTTTTAGTTTTTTATTTTTTTTATGTACTCTATATACGTGGCGATGAAGCGTTTGTTTCGTTGAAACTGTGGTGTATTCGCAAAATTCACAGGAATACGTTTTTATTTGATCTGAAATTTCGTTTTCTTTCTCGTGCTTTCCTTTATGTCTGCTAAAGATGTGTTTCGGAAAGGTTTTCTCGTTAACAGTAGAAAAATCGCAGTAACTACAATGATACTGTGGTATCGTTATGTTAACTTTCTTTTCCAAGTCATTTTGTTTCTTGTGATTATTAAACACATGGATTTGCACAAGTTTTTGCGACACGGTTGTGTACTCACAATACACACATTTAACAGTGGAGGTATGTGCTTTCACATGGGCGTTCATTTTATAATTAAATGTTGTCGTGAACGAGCAATATTTACAACTCAAAGTTGGCGCCTTAATTTTTTTGCAGATTTGGATATGATCGTCCAGAAATCTCTTAGTCGTCGTCGAAAACTCGCAGTTATCGCAACTATGGATAACGGTCGTAATTTTAACTTTTTTCTCGACTTTGTTCTGGTCTAGGTGGTGCCTGTAAACGTGCAAATGCAGAAGGAACTTCCGTTTCGGTTCCAAGTCGCAGTAAGGACACGCGATTTTTTTGTTATCAATTTTCATCTTCCGCGTCATCTTCACTTTCTTCTCGACCTCGTTCTGCTCTCGGTGCTTCCTGTGGACGTGCTTCTGCAAGCCTCGGTCTTGTTTTATTTTCTCCTTGCAGTAGGGGCACGTCAACACTACTATCTTTACCGGATATTTCTTCTCCTTGTAGGACAAAATGGCCACTTTTTCCTCGACATCGTTTTGTTCACGGTGCATCCTGTAAACGTGTCTCTCCAAATCGATTCTTCTATGCGGCCGATAAGTGCAGTACGGACACGGTAATATCGGTTTTGTTTTTGGTTTTTGGATTTTCGTTTTCTTTTTACTTTCGTGTTTTTCCATAATGTGCTTAGTAACTTCGTACTCCCGTCCCACGAAACCACACCTGTTGTATCTGCATTTAGTTGAAGATTCACTGAAACAAAAATTATGGTTAATTTATATTTATTAGGTTTACCAGATTTTTTTGATAAAAATAAAACCAACTATTTTTCACAATATATATTATATTCATTTATTATTACAAAAGATAAAGATTTTGCATTAAAACATGTTTTTGTACGTAAAATGTCACCCAATGCTTAAAGAACAAGATCCATCTGTCCTTAAAATTTCATCCTGTCTAATCTGGACCAAAATAATTTCAATTAAGTAAACGTTATATTTACAAAAGTTCCTTAATCAGTGCGCTGGCCCTAAAATTACAATTATAAAATGATTTTTGAAGGTAGCCTTTGGGATGGAGATTTAGCATAGAAAAACCGACCGACACGACATGAGACGAAATCGACGTCAGGCGCATTTAAGATAGGTTTTTAGCGGTTTGTTTCGTTGAAATAGTGGTGTATTCAAAAAATTCACAGGAATATGTTTTTATTTGATCTGAAATTTCGTTTTCTTTCTCGTGCTTTCCTTTATGTTTGCTAAAGATGTGTTTCGGAAAAGTTTTCTCATTAACAGTAGAAAAATCACAGTAACTACAATGAAACTGTGGTATTGTTATGTTAACTTTCTTTTCCAAGTCATTTTGTCTCTTGTGATTATTAAACACATGGATTTGCACAAGTTTTTGCGACACTGTTGTGTACTCACAATACGCACATTTAACAGTGGAGGAATGTGCTTTCACATGAGCGTACATTTTATAATTAAATGTTGTCGTGAACGAGCAATACTGACAGCTCAAAGTTGGCGCTTTAATTTTTTTGCAGATTTGGATATGATCGTCCAGAAATCTCTTGGTCGTCGTCGAAAACTCGCAGTTATCGCAACTATGAATGACCGTCGTAATTTTAACTTTTTTCTCGACTTTGTTCTGGTCAAGGTGGTGCCTGTAAACGTGCAAATGCAGGAGGAACTTCCGTTTCGGTTCCAAGTCGCAGTAAGGACACGCGATTTTTTTGTTATCAATTTTCATCTTCCGCGTCATCTTCACTTTCTTCTCGACCTCGTTCTGCTCTCGATGCTTCCTGTGAACGTGCTTCTGCAAGCCTCGGTCTTGTTTTATTTTTTCCTTGCAGTACGGGCACGTCAACACTACTATCTTCACCGGATATTTCTTCTCCTTGTAGGACAAAATCGCCACTTTTTCCTCGACATCGTTTTGTTCACGGTGCATTCTGTAAACGTGTCTCTCCAAATCGATTCTTCTATGCGGCCGATAAGTGCAGTACGGACACGGTAATATCGGTTTTGTTTTTGGTTTTTGGATTTTCGTTTTCTTTTTACTTTCGTGTTTTTCCATAATGTGCTTGGTAACTTCGTACTCCCGTCCCACGAAACCACATCTGTTGTATCTGCATTTAGTTGAAGATTCACTGAAACAAAAATTATGGTTAATTGATATTTATTAGGTTTACCAGATTTTTTTAATAAAAATAAAACCAACTATTGTTCATAATATATATTATATTTATTTATTATTACAAAAGATAAAGATTTTGCATTAAAACATGTTTTTGTACGTAAAATGTCACCCAATGCTTAAAGAACAACATCCTTCTGTCCTTAACATTTCATTAAGTCTAATCCGGACCAAAATAATTTGAATTAAGTAAACGTTATATTTACAAAGTTCCTTAATCAGTGCGCTGGCCCTAAAATTACAATTATAAAATGGTTTTTGAAGGTAGCCTTTGGGATGGAGATTTAGCATGGAAAAACCGACTGACACAATACAATATATATGGTTTTTAAAGTTCTTTGGTCAACGCAACTCCTCAACACAAACATTGTGTGGTTTTTGGAACTCACAAATATAAATTTTTTTTAGTCGTATACGAGGTATGTCAAAAAATATGAATTTGGCGCAAGAGTAAAGTACCTTTATATTTGACAATATCAAAAATTGTTATAAAGAAAAGTTAATCAGAACTAAAAACTACGTTTAAATATGCAATTTCATACATTTACATTAAAAAATTAGGTTTTGTTAATTTTTACTAATCTTTCTATTTTAAATGAACATTTATCTGTTATGATTACAAAAAACATGAAAACCTTAAGTTAAGTCAGGGGATCTAGCAGGCCAAAAAGTTTTAGAATATCAACAAATCATTTGTTTATCAGTGAATCCTAGATTACATGTTACAGTTAAATTTGCATTGATATTGTAGACAAAAAAGAAAAAATATATTTTTTTTAATGTAAATGGATGTAATTGCATATTTGAACGTAGTTTTTAGTTCTGATTAACTTTTCTTTATAACAATTTTCGATATTGTCAAATATAAAGGTACTTTACTCTTGAGCCAAATTCATATTTTTTGACATACCCCGTATACGACTAAAAAAAAATAATATTTGTGAGTTGCATTTTAAGTTTTACACCATGCAGAACTTTTTATAAAGAATAACTTTTTTTCCTAAAATTAATAATAAAAAAGTTTTCCATATGATTCCAAGATACTGAGACATACTGTATATTTAACGAGTTTCACGAATACAATCAATGGTTTATCTAATACAAAGTAGCTCGTCCACTCCAACTTATACAACTCTAACTTAACCTAAAATTAAATAACGAAACATAATGACTACGTTATAATAACAACAAACAATATGGTTCTTTTTTGGTTTATCATTATTAAAAGCATTCATGTACATTGTACAGTAGTTTTTGGTTTAATCCTATCTTTTTTAATTTGTAAACCTAAAAATTTACAATTTTAAATCGTTCTTGTTTTCTTCATGTTGCTTCTTGTGATTGGTAGAAATGTGCCTTTGTAATGTTTGTTTTGAATGTGTCGTATATTCACAATAAAGACATTTAAGAATAGAGGTGTGTTTCTTCATATGTTTGTCAAATTTAAGCTTAATAGTAGTTACAAATGAACATAGACTACAGGTGAATATTGAGTTCTGACAACTCCTCATCTTATTTTCGCATTTCTCGCCATGATTCAAAAAGTTTCTACGATAAACATTGGTGTACTCACAGAAGTCGCATTTGTAAACCTTGATGTTTATTTGAACCTTATTTTCAGCTTCGTTTTCTTCTTTGTGTTTTAAATAGATATGCTTTTGCAAGGTTGTAGCGAATTTTGATGCATACCGACAATACGGGCAGGGTATGTTGGGAATTCCGTGAGATTTTAGGTGCGACTGAAGGTTCCTTCTTGTGGTTGCAGTGTACGAACAGTGATCGCAGTTGTGAGTGGACACCGTCATGGATTTACCTTCATCTGAAGAGTCTGTTTCGACATGCTTACTTGGCGAGGTCATTTGCTTGCAAGCTTGTGCATGATGGTCGACCAAACTTTTCGCGAGAGCCGTATAATCGCAACTACGGCAACTATAAATCGGTGATGTTATTTTCACTCTTTTCTCTGCTTTGTTCTGTTCGCGGTGCTCCCTGTATACATGCAACTGCAAAAGGATTATGCTTTTGGCTTCCAGGGTGCAGTACGGGCAGAAATAATTTTTGTTCAGGGTATTCACCAACGATGACCCCATCTCAACTTTTTTCTCGACATCGTTTCGTTCGCGATGTTTCCTGTAAACATGCTTCTGCAAGCCTTGCTTTTGTTGCAAAATTCTTCCGCAATACGGGCATCAACAAATATAAAATACTTTGAAAATTGGCAATATATATGGTTTTTAAAGTTCTTTGGTCAACGCAACTCCTCAACACAAACATTTTGTAGCTTTTGTACCTCATCAGTTTCGGGTAGCCGCAATCAGTGTCGAACGATAGGTCTTATACTTAACGTGTAGTGCCAGAAATTGTTAGAAGATAATAAAAAAACGACTTTCTTTAAAAATATATTTATTTATCGAGTTTCACAAATACAATCAATGGTTTATCTAATACAAAGTAGCTCGTCCACTCTTAACTTAACCTAAAATTAAATAACGAAACATAATGACTACGTTATAATAATAACAAACAATATGGTTCTCTTTCGGTTTATCATTATTAAAAGCATACATGTACAATGTACATTGTACAGTAGTTTTTGGTTTAATCCTTTTTTTTTTTTAGTTTGTAAACCTAAAAATTTACAATTTAAAATCGTTCTTGTGTTCTTCATGTTGCTTCTTGTGATTGGTAGAAATGTGCCTTTGTAATGTTTGTTTCGAATGTGTCGTAAATTCACAATAAAGACATTTAAGAATAGAGGTGTGTTTCTTCATATGTTTGTCAAATTTAAGCTTAATAGTAGTTACAAATGAACATAGACTACAGGTGAATATTGAGTTCTGACAACTCCTCATCTTATTTTCGCATTTCTCGCCATGGTTCAAAAAGTTTCTACGATAAACATTGGTGTTCTCGCAGAAGTCGCATTTGTAAACCTTGATGTTTATTTGAACCCTATTTTCTGCTTCGTTTACTTCTTTGTGTTTTAAATAGATATGCTTTTGTAAGGTTGTAGCGAATTTTGATGCATACTGACAATACGGGCAGTGTATTTTAGGAATTTCGTGAGATTTTAGGTGTGACTGAAGGTTCCTTCTTGTGGTTGCAGTGTATGAACAGTAATCGCAGTTGTGAGTTGACACCGTCATGGATTTACCTTCATCTGAAGAGTCTGTTTCGACATGCTTACTTGACGAGTTCATTTGTTTGCAGGCTTGGGCATGATCGTCGACCAAACTTTTCGCGAGAGCCGTATAATCGCAATTACGGCAACTATAAATCGGTGATGTTATTTTCACCCTTTTCTCTTCTTTATTCTGTTCGCGGTGCTCCCTGTATACATGCAACTGCAAAAGGATTATGCTTTCGGCATCCAGGGTGCAGTACGGGCAGACATAATTTTTGTTCAGGGTATTCACCAACGAGGACCCCATCTCAACTTTTTTCTCGACATCGTTTCGTTCGCGATGTTTCCTGTAAACATGCTTCTGCAAGCCTTGCTTTCGTTGCAAAATTCTTCCGCAGTACGGGCATGACAACATCAACGAATAAAAAATACCGTATTATAAAATACTTTGAAAATTGGCAGTATATATGGTTTTTAAAGTTCTTGGTCAACGTAACTCCTCAACACAAACAGTGTCGAACGATAGGTCTTATACTTAACGTGTAGTGCCAGAAATTGTTAGAAGATAATAAAAAACGACTTTTTTTAAAAAATATTTATATTTATCGAGTTTCACAAATACAATCAATGGTTTATCTAATACAAAGTAGCTCATCCACTCTTATCTTAACCTAAAATTAAATAACAAAACATATTGACTACGTTTTAATAATAACAAACAATATGGTTCTTTTTTGGTTTACCATTATTAAAAACATACATGTACATTGAACAGTAGTTTTTTGTTTAGGTAATACCATTTTCTTTTAAATTTGTAAACCTAAAAATTTACAATTTTAAATCGTTCTTGTGTTCTTCATGTTGCTTCTTGTGATTGGTAGAAATGTGCCTTTGTAATGTTTGTTTTGAATGTGTTGCATATTCACAATAAAGACATTTAAGAATAGAGGTGTGCTTCTTCATATGTTTGTCAAATTTAAGCTTAATAGTAGTTACAAATGAACATAGACTACAGGTGAATATTGAGTTCTGACAACTCCTCATCTTATTTTCGCATTTCTCGCCATGGTTCAAAAAGTTTCTACGATAAACATTGGTGTACTCACAGAAGTCGCATTTGTAAACCTTGATGTTTATTTGAACCTTATTTTCTGCTTCGTTTTCTTCTTTGTGTTTTAAATAAATATGCTTTTGTAAGGTTGTAGCGAATTTTGATGCATACTGGCAATACGGGCAGGGTATGTTGGGAATTTCGTGAGATTTTAGGTGCGACTGAAGGTTCCTTCTTGTGGTTGCAGTGTATGAACAGCGATCGCAGTTGTGAGTTGACACCGTCATGGATTTACCTTCATCTGAAGAGTCTGTTTCGACATGCTTACTTGGTGAGTTCATTTGTTTGCAAGCTTGTGCATGATCGTCGACCAAACTTTTCGCGAGAGCCGTATAATCGCAACTACGGCAACTATAAATCGGTGATGTTATTTTCACCCTTTTCTCCACTTTGTTCTGTTCGCGGTGCTCCCTGTATACATGCAACTGCAAAAGGATTATGCTTTCGGCATCCAGGGTGCAGTACGGGCAGAAATAATTTTTGTTCAGGGTATTCACCAACGAGGACCCCATCTCAACTTTTTTCTCGACATCGTTTCGTTCGCGATGTTTCCTGTAAACATGCTTCTGCAAGCCTTGCTTTCGCTGCAAAATTCTTCCGCAGTAAGGGCATGACAACATCAACGAATAAAAATTACCGTATTATAAAATTCTTTGAAAATTGGCAATATACCGTACCTTTATTTGCAAGTTATACATAGGAAAAATACATTGTAGGTGGAACAGACAAGTCGAAGTCGGCACGGTCACCGCGAAACGAAAATGTTCCCAGAAATTATTTTGACGAGTGGATGAGTAGACTAACATGCGACGTAACAGGTGACCTTGTTTACTGGCGATTAAAATTTTATTACGTCCAAATAATTTCTGAGAACTTTTTCGCTTTGCGCTGACTTCAACTTGTCTGGTCCACCTACACTGTATTTTCCCTATGTATAGCTTGCAAATGAAGGTACGGTATACGGGTTTTAAAGTTCTTTGGTCAACGTAACTCCTCAACACAAACATTGTGTAGCTTTTGGACCTCATCAGTTTCGGGTAGCGGCAATCAGTGTCGAACGATAGGTCTTATGCTTAACGCGTAGTGCCAGAAATTGTTAGAAGATAATATAAAAACGACTTTCTTTAAAAATATATTTATTTATCGAGTTTCACAAATACAATCTATGGTTTATCTAATACAAAGTAGCTCGTCCACTCTTAACTTAACCTAAAATTAAATAACGAAACATAATGACTACTTTTTAATAACAACAAACAATATGGTTCTTTTTTAGTTTATCATTATTAAAAGCATACATGTACATTGTACAGTAGTTTTTGGTTTAATCCTATTTTTTTTTAAATTTGTAAATTTAAAAATTTACAATTTTAAATCGTTCTTGTTTTCTTCATGTTGCTTCTTGTGATTGGTAGAAATATGCCTTTGTAATGTTTGTTTTGAATGTGTTGTATATTCACAATAAAGACATTTAAGAATAGAGATGTGTTTCTTCATATGTTTGACAAATTTAAGCTTAATAGTAGTTACAAATGAACATAGACTACAGGTGAATATTGAGTTCTGACAACACCTCATCTTATTTTCGAACTTCTCGCCATGGTTCAAAAAGTTTCTACGATAAACATTGGTGTACTCGCAGAAGTCGCATTTGTAAACCTTGATGTTTATTTGAACCTTATTTTCTGCTTCGTTTACTTCTTTGTGTTTTAAATAGATATGCTTTTGTAAGGTTGTAGCGAATTTTGATGCATACTGACAATACGGGCAGTGTATGTTGGGAATTTCGTGAGATTTTAGGTGTGACTGAAGGTTCCTTCTTGTGGTTGCAGTGTATGAACAGTAATCGCAGTTGTGAGTTGACACCGTCATGGATTTACCTTCATCTGAAGAGTCTGTTTCGACATGCTTACTTGGCGAGTTCATTTGCTTGCAGGCTTGTGCATGATGGTCGACCAAACTTTTCGCGAGAGCCGTATAATCGCAACTACGGCAACTATAAATCGGTGATGTTATTTTCACCCTTTTCTCTACTTTGTTCTGTTCGCGGTGCTCCCTGTATACATGCAACTGCAAAAGGATTATGCTTTCGGCATCCAGGGTGCAGTACGGGCAGAAATAATTTTTGTTCAGGGTATTCACCAACGAGGACCCCATCTCAACTTTTTTCTCGACATCGTTTCGTTCGCGATGTTTTCTGTAAACATGCTTCTGCAAGCCTTGCTTTCGTTGCAAAATTCTTCCGTAGTAAGGGCATGACAACATCAATGAATAAAAAATACCGTATTATAAAATACTTTGAAAATTGGCAATATATATGGTTTTTAAAGTTATTTGGTCAACGTAACTCCTCAACACAAACAGTGTCGAACGATAGGTCTTATACTTAACGCGTAGTGCCAGAAATTGTTAGAAGATAATAAAAAACGACTTTCTTTAAAAATATATTTATTTATCGAGTTTCACAAATACAATCAATGGTTATCTAATACAAAGTAGCTCGTCCACTCTTATCTTAACCTAAAATTAAATAACGAAACATAATGACTTCGTTTTAATAACAACAAACAATATGGTTCTTTTTTGGTTTATCATTATTAAAAGCATACATGTACATTGTACAGTAGTTTTTGGTTTAATCCTTTTTTTTTATTTGTAAATCTAAAAATTTACAATTTTAAATCGTTCTTGTTTTCTTCATGTTGCTTCTTGTGATTGGTAGAAATGTGCCTTTGTAATGTTTGTTTCGAATGTGTCGTATATTCACAATAAAGACATTTAAGAATAGAGGTGTGTTTCTTCATATGTTTGTCAAATTTAAGCTTAATAGTAGTTACAAATGAACATAGACTACAGGTGAATATTGAGTTCTGACAACTCCTCATCTTATTTTCGCATTTCTCGCCATGGTTCAAAAAGTTTCTACGATAAACATTGGTGTACTCACAGAAGTCGCATTTGTATACCTTGATGTTTATTTGAACCTTATTTTCTGCTTCGTTTTCTTCTTTGTGTTTTAAATAGATATGCTTTTGTAAGGTTGTAGCGAATTTTGATGCATACTGACAATACGGGCAGGGTATGTTGGGAATTTCGTGAGATTTTAGGTGCGACTGAAGGTTCCTTCTTGTGGTTGCAGTGTACGAACAGTGATCGCAGTTGTGAGTGGACACCGTCATGGATTTACCTTCATCTGAAGAGTCTGTTTCGACATGCTTACTTGGCGAGTTCATTTGCTTGCAGGCTTGTGCATGATGGTCGACCAAACTTTTCGCGAGAGCCGTATAATCGCAACTACGGCAACTATAAATCGGTGATGTTATTTTCACCCTTTTCTCTACTTTGTTCTGTTCGCGGTGCTCCCTGTATACATGTAACTGCAAAAGGATTATGCTTTTGGCATCCAGGGTGCAGTACGGGCAGAAATAATTTTTGTTCAGGGTATTCACCAACGAGGACCCCATCTCAACTTTTTTCTCGACATCGTTTCGTTCGCGATGTTTCCTGTAAACATGCTTTTGCAAGCCTTGCTTTCGCTGCAAAATTCTTCCGCAGTACGGGCATGACAACATCAACGAATTCATAGGGTATTTTTTTTCCGTCCAAGACAAATTCTTCACCCTCTTCTCGATGCTGTTCTGATCGCGGTGCTTCCGGTAAACGTGTCTGTCGAAATTTGATTTCCGGTTCGTTTGGTAGACGCAGTAAGGGCATTGAAATATTAGTTTTGGTTTTGGGATTTTTGACGATTTACCTTGATGTTGCTGGTGGTCTTTTTTCGTGTGCCGTATCACTGCCTTTTTCGTCCCAGTGTACGAACATTCCTTATGTCCGCACATAAATGTATTGCTGAAAAAAAATCGTCGTTAATTTAAGTATTTTGATTTATTTAATTAATAGTAATATTAATTCTTTACCAAAATTGGTCAATAAAAATAAAACTATATATATATTTTTTTTCATTTATTACAAAATACATTTAGGACAATAGTAAAATACATGTTAATTAAGAAATTATTTTTTTTATCTTACATTGGAGCAAACAGGAATTTCATAATATTTAATCATCAAAATCAAATAAAAAAAAAAGATTATGCGATTTGTTTCGGTGGGTTTAGGAATTGCTGCTCTAGAGAATAAACAGTCCCCCGTCATTTTCTGTATTAAGGGGCAGTGAGTCCAAATTATACACCACAAGTTTACAGGGTGTCAAATCAAATAAGTTGTCATCCCTTAGAAGGATTATAGTTATAGTATAAGCCAATGGTAGCAATTTTTACTCTATCACTTTTGCTTTAGAGCTA